ATGGAGTTCTTATTTTCATTTACCTTCTGTTGGAGACTTGAGTCACTGTACTTGTGGATTTCTTTTTTTTAGTAGCACAATGTACTTCACTTGACTTTTTTTTTTTTTTTTTTTTTTTTTGTTGTTGTAAAATTGGAAGATGTAAGTGTATATAACCAATAATAAGCTGGTATTTTGCTTTCTTTATGTTTTTAGTTTCTTTAGTTTTCATGTTTTGTTTCTTCAATTTGAATAAGAAAACAATACATACCTATATTTAAAAGTAAAAAAGTATCACGACCCAAAATTCCACCACATGCGTCGTGATAGCACATAGTCTCTAAGACTAGGTAAGCCGATTTCTATTACATTTTGAAGCCATTTTTTTTAAAATCTAACAGCGGAAATAATTACAATACACAACCTCCCAAGACTGGTAGTACTGAGTCATGAACTCTAACTTAATACATGGAATGATCACGAGGACCGAATATACAATACTGTTTGATTACAAATTAACAGTACAATGAAATGAAAAGACTCCAAAGGACTACGACGGCCAAGCAGCTCTACCTTGAATCCTTATGATCGCGCTTTAAATCTGCTCAAGTCCAATATCTTCAATACCTGGCTCTGCACAAAAATGTGCAGAAGTGTAGAGTGAGCACACCACAACGGTGCCCAGTAAGTATCAAGACTAACCTTAATGAAGTAGAGACGAGGTACAGTCAAGACACGCACTAGTCTAATAACCTGTGCAATATAATATACAAAATAATAGGAAACAAATAATAATAAAGGCAAGATAAAACAACCAGTGATATGCACAACAGACAACAAGAACACCATTATCTCAATAATTAATAAACACAATTACACACAATTAAATCAAGCTCTTCAAATAAATGTCTTTCACATAGTTCTTCCAGATAACTCTCTTTCAAATATAATTCGCTCAAATAATTATTTTTTTTAAATATAATTTTTTCAATAAATCTTTTCAAATACAATTTCCTCAAATAAATATATTTCAAAATACAATTCTTTTATATGATACTTTCTAAGTAAAAATCCTTTCAAATAAATATTTTGAATATAATTCTTTCAATTAAAAAGTCACCATGTGATACCTCATTTCAAAATCATCAAAATACGGGTCTCAGCCCATTTTTATATTTTTTGTAAATACGGGTCTCAACTTATTTTCATATTTTCACGGCACCTCGTGCCCATAATTAAATCATCATATTTGCCCGGCACCTCGTGCCATCATTTCATATCACAACTGCACGGACATTTCACGTGCCAAATATCATTATTATTTCATCACAGCACCTCGTGCCCACATTTTATATCACAACTGCACGGACAATCCTCGTGCCAATATCCCCATTTCATATCACAATTCACGGCACCTCGTGCCCATAATTCATTTTATAAACCGCCTGGCAATAGCCGCAGGCTCCCAATTTCAACAAAATCAAATTATTATCAATTTACTAACAACAAGACAAGTTGCACAAGGTATAAAAATAAACACAAGAAAATCACAACATCACATGAGAATTTTCAACACCACAACCCCACATCATCACATATCGTCCCTGACAATAGCCACCCTTATCGCTCTTATTGCCATCTTATCGCTCCTATAGCTACCCTTATCGCTCGTATTGCCACCCTTATCGCTCTTATAACTACCCTTATCGCTCCGCCCAGACAATATCAATAGCCACCCTTATCGCTCCTATAGCCACCCTTATCGCTCCGCCCAGACAATATCAATAGTCAACAAATACAACAGTGAAATGCCATCCTTATAACCACATAATATCAACGGTGAAATGTCACCCTTATCTCCCAAAAATAACAATTCACACAATACAATAATTTACACGGGAAATTATCACAACAACATAACAAAAATCAATTCATATCACAATTTGCCCAATGGCCACAACCAAATTTTAAAGCTACAACAAAGTCAATTAATTTCACAGCAAATAGCCAAATACTTCACACAATGTGTACAACACCCAAAAACAATCAATATATATAGAAATTACTCAACATAAAGCAAAGTCTTCATAAAAGATTAAATTTTTAATAATTATATAAACACCTCTTTTTAAGCTCATTTAATTAATTATTTGCAGAGGAAAAAATTCAAAATGAAATTAAATTCCAATAATTATCAAGCCAACAAATTCACAAAATTTCATAAATAATCAAATAACAATCACATCACATTGTCATATAACAACAGAGTCAACAACAAGGGTTTAGGCACGACAAGTAGATGATAAAATATATGCCAACAATTATCCAATTTACTACACAATATGCTCAAGACTTTAACTCAATAAAATTTGCACATATAAACCAAGTACGTACTCGTCACNGTCATATAACAACAGAGTCAACAACAAGGGTTTAGGCACGACAAGTAGATGATAAAATATATGCCAACAATTATCCAATTTACTACACAATATGCTCAAGACTTTAACTCAATAAAATTTGCACATGTAAATCAAGTACGTACTCGTCACGTCGCGTACATGGTTTTTAATTACCCAAGTTGCACATAAGACTCAATGCCTAAGGGGAATTTCCCCCAGTCGAGGTTAAGCAAGACACTTACCTCTTTGAAGTTATGCCGATATTCCAAAATTACCTTCTTGTTCGAATTGACCTCCTAACAGCTCAAATCTATCCAAATTAATTGTATAACTTCATTAAAATTCATCGAAAATAATTCCGGATAATAATACGTCGACTAAAAAATTTATTCCAAAAGGTCAATAAAAGTCAACGTGGGACCCGCCTCTCGGAACCCGACATAATTTTCATGAAATTCGAACACCCATTCCGATACGAGTTCAACCATACCAATTTTATCGAATTCCAATAACAACTTGATTTCCAAATCTTAAATTTTCGCTTTTGGAAGATTTTATAAAAATCTTGATTTTTTTTCCTCCATTAAATCCGAATTAAATGATGGATTCAAAGACATAATCATGGAAATTAATCAAAACTGGATAAGAATCACTTACCCCAAACACCTACGGAAGAATCTCTCCAAAAATCGCCTTCTACCGAACTCTAAATTAGATTTTGAGTTATGAACTCAAACCCCCATTTTTGGGACTTTTAATTCTGCCCAGATAGGCCTTCTTCGCGTTCGCGACTTTTGCTTCGCGTTCGCGAAGGCCAAAATCCGACTGCCTCAAATCCTTCATCGCGTTCGCGACCTCCTCGTCGCGTTCGCGAAGGCCAACTTTTTCTACCCCATCATTTCCTTTTCGCGTTCGCGAACTCCTTGTCACATTCGCGATGACCAGCTGACCAACTCCTTCGTATTCGCGTTCCATGCTTCGCGTTCGCGAAGGCTAAACGACCCCAGGTCCCAATCTTCCCTTCTTCTTCGCGTTCGCGTTACCTGGGCCGCGTTCGAGAAGGCTTGCCCTACTCATTCTTTGCGTTTGCGTCCACAGCTTCGCGTTCGCGAAGGCCAAACCATCAGTCCCTCAAATTTCTCTTCGCAAACGCGGGACTCCTTTCGCGCTCGCGAAGAAGGAAACCAGACTTCAGCAACAACAGTCCAAACAGCTCCAATTTGGTCCGAAACCACCCCGAAACACGTCCGAGCCCCTCGGGACCTCAATCAAACATACCATCAAGTCCCAAAATATCATACAAACTTAGTCGAATTCTCAAATCACCTCAAACAACATCAAAACGACGAATCACACCCCAAATCAAAATCTATGAACTTTGAACTTTCAATTTCTATAATTTGTGCCGAAACACATCAAATCAATCCGGAATGACTTCAAATTTTGCACACAAGTCATAATTGACATTATGGACCTACTCCAACTTCCGAAATTAGATTCCGACCCCGATATCAAAAAGTCCACTACCAGTCCAATTCTCCAAAACTTCGACTTTCGCATTTCAAGCCTAAATTGGCTACAGACCTCAGATTCATAGTCCGAACACGCTCCTAAGTCCAAAATCACTCAACAGAGACGGAACTCCATTCTGGAGTCGTCTTCACACAGTTCCGACTACGGTCAAAAATCCTAAGACTTAAGCTTCCGTCTTAGGGACTAAGTGTCCCAAATCTCTCCGAATCATCTGTATATCAAACTCGACCACACACGCGGGTCATAATACATATTGCGAGGCTTCTCGAGACCTTAAGTCACTGAACGAGGCGTTAATTCTTAAAACGACACGTCGGGTCGTTACAAAAAGTTTCTTAAAATTCCTTTTATTTTTATTTTTTTTAGAAAAGAGGTTTGATAATGACATATGCAGTAAAATATTCTAATTTCAGTAAGAATATTACCCTTTTTAGTTAATCAATATAAAAGAATTAAAAATTATATGCATATACAAGAAAATTATTATTTATTCTATCTCTATTAACTTTATAAAAATATTATTTCTAAATTTATTGTTATTTTTATAACTGCGCGAAGCACGGTCAAATTACTAGTTTATCATAATATGGGGTTTGCATTACCAAATTGTTGGAGCGTGTGCTCGGTTGGATAATACCCCATCTATTTTTATTTTATGTGATTGTATTTAAGTAAAAGAAGAATACTAAAATTAGAATAATTCTAGATAAACAAATTTGTTGATTATAAAAAATAAGAATAATTTTCCGATGATCAGAATTAATGCTACCCTGGCCATAGCGTAATAGTCCTTTTGCTTTGGGTGAAGGTGAGCTACAAAGGGGGCACTTTTTGGCTTTTCTTTTTCAGCTCTGCTGTGTTATTTGTACATTATTACCCTTTATAATTTTGAATTTAAGAAAATAACTATTTTTAGATATCTCATATGTAGAAAGCAGATCTCTTACGTGTAAAAAATAAATCTTTTATGTATAAAAAAAGAGATAGAGTTATAAAACTAAAAATAAGTTTGTAAAGAAAAAAAAAATAAAAAATAAAAAAAACCTAATAAGTGGGTGTGCATGTGCTTATGATTTTTCCACTCTAGCATATACCCATTTGGCTTTTTGTGTTGTTTATGAGATGGTCCCTTTAGGCATCCTTGTGTTCCTTCACAGGAAGTAAACCCAGAAAAATTAAAGATGCTTCTTTTTCCTTCTTTTTTGAATTGAAGCTTAGGTTAAATGAAGCACAACCCAGAAAACCAAAGTTTCTATTTTTGATTCAAATTACTCTCATCTGTGTGTGCTGTCTTAATGGTATGTATGTTGACTTCTTTGTCTTATATTACTTTTTTTTTTCCTTCTGCTGATTCATGAATTAAAGCCTATTTTATAGTTCTTGGTAGTATTTCTTTTTGTGCTTGTTGTTCTCTAAAGATGTCACCTTGAACTTTCCGCTGTGATTTGCAGCTCTTGATTATCATGAGATAAAACTGTTAACAATGATATTTCGGCTAATTAAGTTCAATCTGTCATGTGCTGTGTCTTGAGTGAGCTTTTAGGGAATTCGTTTAGCTCATTTTATCATAAGTTTGTAGGGTTTTTATGTTGGAAAATTGTACTGCATAAATAAGGCAAAACATTTTTTTGTCTATATATGTAAACTTTTGAATCCCTAAGGGAAGTTTTCATTGGAGTGGCAAAGGTAGTTTCAAAATTTGCTTTTCAAATTTTTTGAATCCCCTTTTCCAAATTCATGGTTCCGCCACTGCTTGTATAGCCACAATTTTGCGGAAGACAGATTTTTTTGATACCATAAATGTTGAAGCATTTGAATATTGATGTAGCTGTCTTAATCTACAGATTCAAGATACTTACTTTGCCACATTGAAGCGGAGAAGCTGTACATGATGATCTGTTAAAGTTTAATACTTTGAGTTTGAACCCAATAAAATTAAAGGAAAGCAAGAATGACATCTGCTGTCAATGGTGAATGCCATGGTATTGTTGAGGAACCTAAGGGTGGCCAAGTGAAGACTCATATACCTCTGCATGTTTCTACATCTCATAGGGGACTCATAAGTAATGATAATTCTCAGAACCATTCCCAAGGTAGCAATCTTGCTATTCCCAAAAGGCTAAGGTTCCTCAACTTTGGTACTTTGGGCTCTCCATCGGCAAAGTTTCAGCAGATAGCTGATGAAAGAGATGAGTTTTCTCGAACTGTACCTTCTTCTAGCAGCCTTCATCTCCGTCAACGCCTTTCTAGGCTGTTTTCACGGAAAATTGATTGGACGTCTCTTTGCAAAATGTGCAAAGAGTGGTTCAGAAATCCGCTGAATATTGTACTCTTTATCTGGATTGTATGCGTAGCCGTTTCTGGTGCAATTTTATTTCTTGTGATGACAGGGATGTTGAACCATGCCATCCCTAAGAAATCTCAGAGGGATACGTGGTTTGAAGTGAATAACCAAATCCTTAATGCACTGTTTACTCTGATGTGTCTGTACCAACACCCACAAAGACTCTATCACTTTGTTCTTTTAATGCGATGGAGGCCAGAAGATATTTCCAGGCTGAGAAAGATTTACTGCAAACATGGCACTTATAAGCCCCATGAATGGACACACATGATGGTGGTTGTTGGGTTACTTAATCTCAACTGTTTTGCTCAATATGCTCTGTGCGGCCTTAATTTGGGTTACAGGAGGTCAGAAAGACCAGCTATTGGGGTAGGATTATGTATCTCAGTTGCAATTGGTGCACCTGCCATTGCTGGAGTTTACTCTATGCTCAGCCCTCTTGGAAAAGATTATGATACTGAGTTAGATGAGGAAGCACAACTTCAGATGACAGCTGCTGAGAGCAGCGCATCTAGCCAACTGAGAAGAAAATCATTGGAAAGAAGATTTTCTTTTGCATCAGATGAAGGAAGAATTCTTGAAACTAGGCCACAATGGAGTGGAGGCATTCTTGATTTTTGGGATGACATTTCTTTGGCATATCTCTCTCTGTTCTGCAGTTTTTGTGTTTTTGGTTGGAATATGGAGAGACTTGGGTTTGGAAACATGTATGTTCATATTGCAACTTTTCTTCTCTTCTGTATGGCTCCTTTCTGGATCTTCAATTTGGCTGCTGTTAATATTGACAATGATAGTGTCAGGGGGGCGTTAGGACTTACTGGAATTTTCCTTTGTCTATTTGGGTTACTATATGGTGGCTTTTGGAGGATTCAGATGAGAAAACGATACAATTTGCCTCCTTACAATACTTGCTGTGGTAAACCTTCTGTTGCTGATTGTGCACTATGGCTTTTCTGCTGTTGGTGTTCTCTTGCACAGGAAGTAAGGACTGGAAATTCCTATGACATTGTGGAGGATAAATTTTATATGAAACAAGATGAAAGTATAGCTCCATTACCTCGTGAGGATGTGCTATATAGATCCACTCAAGGTTCTCCCAACTCCTCTCCACCTCCAATAGTGAAAAATGAGATAATGACACCGCCTGCTCCTTCGATTATACAAAGAGAAGATGTGTAGTACGACCTTTTTGCAATGTTATGAGAACTTTAACCATACACTGTAAGCTCGCCTGCGCAATTTTCATTTTAGCTATAGGTATGTTGTATTTCTACATTCTAAATATGTTGTACAAGTACAAGTGCTGGTTGTGATCATCATGTTTCAGATATTTTATTCTCTGTAATATTGTCGCAGTACTCTGATTCTTTCACATTTTTTGCCAGCGTTTTTATGCTTCTAGGCGGCACATATAACTTATTTTGATCAGTGAGACTCACTCTTAATTGATTGCTCAAGTGAAAAGTCTTTTGACTTAATAAGGCATTCTGATATGAAAATCCCATTCTACAAGAATTTCTATCGATCTATTCTCAGATCTGCTATACAAGATTTACATTCTGATCCCCCTTATGGTGCCCCCTTATTGGAGTTGGAAAGATAATTGGCCTTATTCTTTTCTCAATCCTTATTAGGAGGAGGCTGGTTTAGTGAAGGTGAAGAGCAATAATGAATATGAGGACTTTTTGAAAGTAGACTTCGCTTTAGAATATTGTGGCTTGACTTTTACCTTTGATCGGATGATTTTAATTAGTTCCTTTCCTAAAGTACACTACCTACTTTTACTAGCACAGATTAAGAAACTTTTTGAATATTTTATTATGTCATAACTAATAAAGAAGTATTAAAATAATACTTTGATATGTTGAATTAGTGAGGAAGATGTCTTGCATCATTAAGACATTATAAAGTAGTACTCCCGTTTCATTTTATATGGCGGTGTTTGACTGAATACAAAGTTATATATGTCAATTTGAAGTATAGTAATAGTTTAAAAGTTAGTTTAACATAGAAAGCGCCATATTGAAGTTAACATTTGAATAGTCAATTAAGTTAAACTCTTAAAAGTTCTGAAATTTGTATAAAATAATATTATTTTTGGAATGATGTCAAATATTTTGCAATATCCAAATGGAAGGAGTGTCATATAGCTTGAGTAGAGAGAGCATTAGTATAAAATTGTTAGAGTTGGAGTAGAAGGAAAAGTTTGGTATTTAAAGGGAATGGTCAAGTTATATGGACAGACAAAAAAGCAAAGCAGTTAACTAATTTACAACAAAGAAACTACAACATCTCAATTGAGATTTAGCTTTCTTTTTTCTTATCCTTATATGTTAGTTCTCTGATATGCATAATGTTGCTGATTTGCCGTAGCAGCTTCTATTCTTCTACTCTGAGGCTGTGACTTGTGACTGGTAATGACCTAAGGCCTCATATTTTCCTATGGCTTTTAATTATTAGTATCACTTGAATTTGTGTTATATTTGCCGTTAGTAAGTATGAGTGACTTCTTTAGTGACTTATTGTGCTTTAGCGGATTTTCCTGGACTTAAATAATTTCTTCATTGAAAGGAGTATCGTTGTCAAAGTGCCAAACTTTCAAATTTTTATCTAAATTGTAGCATACTGAATTGTTTCAAGATTTGGATATGTTCTTGAATCCGCATGAATCTTTTTTTTTTATTCTGAAACCTTTTTGTATTCTAAATTTTCTTTTGAGGTTCCAGTTGAGTTGTCTGAACAGACCAAACATGATTTAATTTTAAGGAGATGAACTTTGAATAGATTTTTCCACAATGCTTAATAAACAAATCTTGAATATATGATAAAAACCTATGTAATCAGAATAGGTATCTGAATAACTAGGGGGAATCTCTTGCTTTAAGTAAATCAAACCATGCTCCTCTCTTAACTCACTATCATGTAATCATCTATTGAGCATTTTCCACCTTTCATATTCAATGCATTTCTTTCCGATTTTGTACTTTTTCTGATTTAGAAAATTCATCAGACTTAAAATTTGCGGGGGTTCCATCAATTAGATGGAAAATTACATTACCCAATCTGCAACCAATTTTTGTTTGCTTCTATCTTTTCTTAGCTTCTTTTTGGAAAGATGAAAATTTATCTAGGATGCTCCTTTTATGTAAGTTTGGAAGAAAGTAGGCCTGAAAACATCGGAATGGATAAAGATGCTTTATGACCAGTTTTTCCAATTTTTATTTTTATTTTTAAAAGAGATGCTTTATATAACCGATCTCAAGTAGTTTATAACTGAAGCTTTGTCAATTAATTGATTGTCATAATTGATTGGTTGATACTCTTTTTATTCTCTTAAATTTTGACTTACCCTTAAAGCTTATGGGGTGAAATATCTTTTTACTTATTTTAGAAACAAGAAATTTTAAAAGATCATTGTAAGAGTAAACAGTTGTTTGAATAGTGTTACCAAAATTGTGAACCATCACCGAAAAGCAGTGCCAAAACTCTTTTCTCTGGGAAGTTGCTGGTAATTGCACATTTGGTATCGGAACAAAATCTATTCTTATAAGCTGAAAGAGGTACGGTGAAGCAAGTCTCTGTAACATCATCAGCATAGCTTGATGAGTAAGCAAAGAGTTGCTGACTTAAAATTCAATATTCAGAGGAAACACTCATTACCTAGACTCTGATCCCATGACAAAAACGAAGAGATTAAGAAGTTTTAGCATTGATTTTCTTGACTTTCAACATCACTCGTCAACTTGCTATTGTTTAGGGTCCATCTCTTATATGGAAGCAGGATTAGAGATCATGTTACTAATCTGGCTGCATTTTGCAGTAACGGAACATGTCTGATCCATGTATATTTATTGCCTTCATACTAATTGCAGACATCCATATTTAATTTGTTGCAGGGTGTTAGCTAATGCTCTATGCCAATTAATTGTTCCATTGTATGTTTCTGGAATAAATATGGAACATAAGTGGTCGGTGAAGCTGTCATATAGTCGATACAAAAGCTACTTGTGTCAGTGGTCTAAGTTTCCTCCTTACCTTAAAAATTAATGAGAGGGAGCATTTTGTTTGAATCTATTGTCTTGCAAGAAAAACATATTAATTCTCCTTTACTTGTTAAGGGGTAGACTATCTCAGAATTACAATGGAATAAAGTTTAAGAATACACATTGAACATGCTAATGATAGCAAAGATTTGTGTTAGGCGTAGTTCTCTGCTCTAAGGAAGTGGTTTGTATGTGGAGATTTTTGTTTATCGTTTGTTGTTTGTGATGAAACTCTAAACCTGAGGCCTAAAGATATCAATTAGCGCCTAGTCGTATGCTCTTCTCGACGACAGTAGAAATCATGACTTGGAGTGTGTGGAGGCTCTATGCTGGGAATCAAGAGCATCTTCTTTAGTCTGTTTTCTGGTATATGCTGATATTCCTATATCTTGATTTCTTTTTTGGTGCTTGAAATGGCTATTCTGGTCTACAAGCAAACATGCACTTTGATAGTTTTACTTCTAGACAATACCATGACAATGAATAGCGTAAACTTGAAGTTGGCACCTTGCAATAGAAAAAGATGAAACAAATCCAGGGAGGAAGATTGGGCATGGAGCAAGGATGCAGAAAAATGATGGTCACACTTGAGATTACTTCTGAAGTTGTCAAAGCAAAAATGTTGCTTCTTTCATTAATCAGGTAACATCAAATGATCTCTAAATTGGTTACAATTGTTGGAGAAGAAAAAGCTTAATATTTAAAGGGAATGGTCAAGTAACATGGGAACAGACAAAAAACAAAAAGCATGTCAACTATTTTAACATAAAGGGACTACAACACCTAAATTGAGTTTTAGTTTTCTTTTCTTCTTTGCCTTAAATGTTAGTTCTCTGATATGCATAGTCTTGCAAGTTGGCCACTGCAGCTTCTATTCTGTAGTCTGAGGTTGTGACTATTTAATCACCCAAGGCCTCATATTTACCTATGGCTTTGAATTAATAGTATCACTTGAATTTGTGCTGCATTTGCCTTTAATGAGTGTGAGTGTCCTCTTTAGCGACTTATTGGGCTGTAAGTAACGAATTCTCCTGGACTTAAATAATTTCTTCATTGAAAGGAGTATCGTTGTCTAAGGGTCAAGCTTTCAATGTTTTATGTAAATTGGAGGATACTGATTTTTTTCTAGATTTAGTTCTTTTCTTGAATCCTGCTGGACCTTTTTCCTATTCCGGACCCTGCTGGATCTTGAAATTTCCAACTGAGTTATCTGAATAGACCAAACTAAGATCTAACTTTAAGGTGATGAACTTTGAGTAGTTTTTTGTATGCTCATTCAAACAATTTTTGAAATTTATGATAAAAACCTATCAGAAATAGGTATCTGAATAACTATGGGGAATCTCTTGCTTCGAGTAAATCAGACTGTGCTCCTATCCTAACTCACCTCTCCATATTCTTTTGAGCATTTTCCACCATTCATTAGTCAATGCGTGTCTTTTCGATCTATATCCTTTCGGATTGAAAAAATTCATCAAACTTAAAAGTTGTGGGGTTCCAGTCAATTAGGTGAAAAATTTAATTAACAAATCTGCAAATAATTTTTGTATATTTATATTTCCAGTCAATTAGGTGAAAAATTTAATTAACAAATCTGCATATAATTTGTCTATTTATATCTTTCCTCAACTTCATTTTACCTACGATGTTCCTTGTATGTATGATTGGAACAAGATGGGCCTGAATAGATCCGAATGGATACAAATGTCTTATATTACCGATATCATCTAGTTTAGGATTGAAGCATAGTCGATCGATTGATTGTCATAGTTGATTGAGTGATTATTCCGTATATGCAAGTATTTTGTTCTCAACTTCTCATTAATCACGATAAAAATATTTTATTTATTTGAAAGAAAGAAGAGCTTTTTGAGAATATTCAGCTTGATAACCTAATCACTAAGAATATTTTACGCAATACTCTTAGTAATTATCTTAAACTAGATTATTTTTACTTTATTTTGAGAACAAGAAATATTAAAATATTATTGGAAGAGTAAACAGTTGCTTGAGTAGTATCACCAGAACAGTGAGCAAAACAATTGCTTGAATAGTGTCACCAGAACAGTCAAGTAGTCAACTATCACTGAAAAGAAAAGCAGTGTCAAAACTCCTTTTTCCTGGAAAGCCACTGGTAATTGCAAAGCAAAAGAAAGTGTTTTACTCCTAGATAATACCATGACAATGAATGGCCGTAAACTTGAAGTTGGCACCTTTGCAAAAGAAAAAGATGAAACAAATCCAGGGAGGGAGATTAGAAATGGAGCAAGGATGGAGAAAAATGGTGGTCATTACTACTGAAGTTGTCAAAGCAAAGCTGTCAGGTAACAT